GAAAAATGCTTACCTCGCTCTGTTGCTTCTCAACCAAACTAGTGATTTCTTGAACTAATGGTGTCAATGATGAGACATCCGGCAAAAGTTCCTTGATTTTGCGCATTCTTACTTCATTCGCTACCCAAGCACCAATAATGCCAAACAGTGCGCCGAGTGTCGATGCTATAACTGTCCACGTCTTCACTCGATTTGATCTGAAATGCGCCGAAATTCAGGAAAATATCGAAAAGACGTGTTCGTGCTTCGAGTTTAGAAAACGCAGGTATCCAGTTTGCACTCGGCACAACACAGCATTTATTTTTACCTCCGCATTACATTTATTTTCGAATTTTGGGGGCTCTAGAATTAAATCGACTTGTTGCCACAATCTGGCACTTTTCAGTTGAAGTCCGCTCTTTCCTCAATCAAATTTCCACTCCGTCCGATGATTCTGAAGCCTTTTCGGTTTCGAAAGAAAAGCGCTGCTTCTCTGACCGTCTTCACCGATTTTGACGCAGTGCTGTTCGGTAAATTTAATACCAGCAATGATCAAGTCGCAAGGCAAGCGCTTACTGCTCCTGTTCCTTTGCATGGCTTGCTCGAAGCGCGCTCGATAGTTCATCGAAGGCAGCTTTCTCAGCTTCATCCGCTTTCTTCACTTCACCAAGCAGCATCTGTTCACTTTTTATGACTGCATGTTCTTCCGTAAGCAAACGAAGGTATCTGCAAAAAAATACAATTAAGGGTTGCTATGCTCATTCTATATTTCCGTTGAAATGCACAAAACCGGTACGCATAAGTTGTTCAGTTCTGAGAGGCAAGTATCAGTTGTCCGGAAGCTGCAAAAGAGCTACGGTATGTCCCGAAATAAAAGACAAATGTGTGCCAAGAAAAGAAGCAGGACTAATCGTGCAGCAATGGCACCCATACTTCACTGTATGCCCGAAATATGCATCAAACTCACAACGCGTAAAAAATAAAACAGAAAAGCCACTGGTTCATAAACATTCAGAAGACAATGTTTTTAGAAGCTAGTAATCGCATGAAAGCTAATAAACAGCTAAAAAGTACCAAAGAAAAG